ATTTCTTCATCAGACGTACTGAGTTTCGCCTTCCTACAGAAAATACGAGCTTGAGTTTTGGTGGCCATCTTGGGGAAAAACGCAGTATGAGGAGTACTATATCGTCTGCAAAGGTATGGATAGGGCAATTGGTTGCTCCAAACACATCATTGATATGAAGTTGGTACAATGTTGTTGCCAAAATTAATCATTGCGGAACGCCGGATTTGATGGCAATAGTATTAGACGATATTACATCTATCACTTCATGAATAGTGATCTGCCTGAAAGTGAATATCCAGTCAATCTCTGGGGTATTGTCTATCAATCATGATTCCTGAGCTTTCCAGATATTGAATGAGCACAATCTTGATAGCATTCTCCATCACTTCAGCGATGACAGATAACAGAGCGATTGGCCTATAGTTGTGAGGCAGGCGATTGTTTATTTTTTTTTGGATTGGTTGGACTCTAGCTAATTCCTAGCAAAATAGAAAATACCCGGAGTCCATGAAAGGAAGTATAATAACTTTTTGTAGATTGAGTTTCAGGAAGTATGAACTGGGTTAAGAAATGACTTTTTCTTCAGGAAGGAAGGAACAGAGGTAGGTGAATCAAATCATAAATAGTAAAGGACATGAGCTATCGAAACATTGTTCGTTTCAGACAGTTGAGGAAAACTCAAACTAGATCAGATCAGATCTTTTTCATTTCAAGATATTCTGGAATCTTCGGAATCTCTACAATATATTGTATAAAGGCTCCAACTTTCTTTGGATCCAGCAACAGGAAGTAAGTATGTCCAAGGTTTGGAGATCAAAAACAACAAGGAGAAATATAACTACCAATGAGTAATGCCTCCTAGTAGTGCTCAGCAAAAATCAAATACATCTTTTTCAAAATACACTCGAAATTCTCCAGAATGGGTTTTAAATAATAGAATGTGAGTTTTTTATTTCAACAAATTATTGATATAGGTGAATTATGTGAATTTCATGGAATTCAGATTTTATAAAAAAATTGTATGTTACTACAGGACGGCGTAGCTATCGGTAACAGTAGGACACCCTAGGGACGTCCTCAGGCTCGTCCCCGACGTCTTGAGGACATAATAAATGTGAAAGCCTCAGAAGGGCCTCAAGCATTTATGCTATCTGCATGTTAATTGATTGCGTTTCAATATCGTTATTTTCCAGCAGAGCAACAATATAGACCTATATGGAGTTTTCATAATAACTTTTGATAAATATTTTGTGAAAGACAAAATTGCTGACACTCCAATCAGACGGATGGAACACCTTATATTCTATACTTAATCTAAGTTCAATCATATAATTTCATCATGATTTATAAATAACATCAATTTATCGTTTTATATCGAGATGCTTGCAATTATTGCTCATTTTTATCAATTCGAATCATATTTTTCAAATGCAGATAACTGTATTGGGATGTTTTTTCAAGATCATGATAGCTCGTTTCATTGACATTTGATCTGTCATTAATTCCAGATCAATATCAATAGAACTAGAATTCATTCAACATATTATATTTTCTTCATTTCGTTACAGTTTCCAGGGAATTTCACTATCCAAACGGGAAATGAAGAATCGGAACAATATAGAAGCCAGACATGAAATCGTATGTGTACAGGGTGAACAACTATGAACGGCTGTCATATCTATCATTCTTCCAACTTTGATAGTTGATATTTTCCTTTGGCGAAAAGCTATCATGTTGGGGTTTTCCGTTGGTCAATTGAGATTTACTTTCTCTATTTTATCGTGTATTGTAATATTCATACCATAAGATTCATTATATCTCAAACTTTTGTCATTATTCGTTGCTGATATATGGCCGACAGCCGTTCCCAGTTGTTCACCCTGTACATCGAGAACTGTGTTCAATTGATACATTATAATCAATCGATAGAAAGAACAGACCTCGAAATGACAATTGATCCATCCCAAACAGTTATCTATACCAATATCATGAATAATACATCAACTAATCATCAGAGATTCTCAATTTTTATGTATACATCTCAAAAGTTAAGATTTTCAAGAAATGGAGCTGCTGATTGCTCAAGTAATCTTTCCGAATTAATGCATCATCATAATAATCCGCAAATCTTGCCTTTCTTTTCATAAACGATGACGTCGGCAAGTTCAGTCAGTCCTGAGATTGGTCGAACAACTCTCTACCAAAACTCAAAGAATTTTATCATCTCTTGAAAATTTTAAACTTTTGGTGAGTATTCGTGTTTCATTATTGGGTCTTTTATGCTGATTTGTATAAATGTTGTAAATTTCGCGATAATTCCCAAAATATATAAATAAATACTTTCTTATGTACATTTTCTGTTTTTCCTCGTTACAAAATTTTTTATGGATTTTTGCTAAAATGAGCTCGATGTGGGACGAGAATATTGTCAGGCAGAATACATGATTGGAAAAACGTTAGAAATATTTCTTCACATCATTTTTATTATCTTCATCAATTTTACTAGTTACTGGTCTGATTCCCATCACTTCTGATCGATCAATATCATTGTGACCAAATTGAATTTTTTTATTTCAGAAACCGTAGGCGATTTAGAGTTATATTTTAATAATAATTCAATTTGTTGATTCCAGTCATTGATTCTGTCATTGAACAATCTATAAAATATTTTGCTATTTACATAACAATTTATGTGATACTATATGATATTGAAAAATAAACAGCGTTGCCAGACTTCGGATGGTTTCAAGTATAATTTCTAGATTTATTGGACATATTATACAGGAACAAGAAATAGGTACCTATAACGACTGTTTCCGACATCTACCTTATTATTTATATAATTTTGGCAATAAAACCTGGGGCAGCAATTCGAATGTGGAGAAGTTTTTCGAGCTCCATCTTTCGGTTGTTATTCTTTTTGCTCAAGTAATTTTTCGAAAAATATACTTTTCAGAAAATAGGTTCTATTAGGACGAGTTCAGTTGAGAGAGGTTCCATTTCCATACACAGTTATTTATTATACAAGGAAATAAATTAGTAGATTTTAGCTCCAGGTTAGCTCCGAGAAACCGTGACCTAAAATCTAATATTCATTCCGTGAATACAAAATCATTTTTTATGTGACAGGAAAAAGAATGAATCGATATTGAGAAGATATCACAGTATTTTGAAATCAGAAAATTATCACTTATGATTACACAAGAGCTTTTTTTGTCGAAGTAAACTTGATATGTATCAAAAAGAATTTTGATGCCTGGCATTTTGACGAAAAAAACAGCCTCTGAAAAGATTACGAGACCGTAGGACGAGTATTTTTTTCTGTCAGTATTTGAGTTGAATTACCTAATAGCAACAAGATTCGAATCATAAATGCCAAGTTTACTTCGAATAAAAAAAAGCTAGAGTATAATCCGGTAGGACAATTCAATTCATCAAAAATTTTGTTTATTTCTGGTTGTCATGCTTTCCAAAGTTAGGTTCCGTTATTGTCGCTGAAAAAGTTGGGGCAAACTTTTTTCGCAGTCATAATGACAAAATCACGCAACTTGTGGGATACATGAATTAAATTGTCGGCGTGGAATTTGAAGTATTTAATAGGAATGACACCTGTGTTGCAGATATTTTTTGTAGGCATCTCCATATCTTTTCATTGAAGTAATCAAATATCTGTCAATCTGATTCTGTGATTTGATTCTGAAAAATTGCGAATTAAGTGGTTGTTAAGTGCCTAATTCAAGAAACCGCGAAGTCGAATGGAAGATGAAGGGACTTGCAGTTCTTTCTCGAAGACGGAGTTAGCAGCTTATTGTTTTGATCTTATAACACAACAATAGCTTCATCAACAATGTATAAATATGTGATATACAGTGTGACCCACTTCTAATGGAAACACCCCAGTATCTTACGTTATCGTTGGGTAAGGATCCCCAAATTTGCTGGAGCGAGAGATATACCAAAAATGCACTCTATGACCAAGTAGGGTCATCTTCAGTGATATACACTGCTTGCCAACAGACATGAAACCACCCCAATTTCCAGAAAATGATATTAGGAGTGAAAATCGGTTGAAAATCACTTCGGATTCGGAATCAGGACGCCGAATTCACTAACTATTCATAGTTTTCTCGTAGTTTTCCTAGAAAATTTTCAGTTCAGAAAAATTAAATTTTGTCTCACTTCTCATGGAAGCACCCCCGTTTCTCACGTAATTATTGAGGTAGCGTTCTGAAATTTGCAGGAGGAAGGGAAAGTCCGAAGATAAAGTCAATTACGTGAGATATACGGGGGTGCTTCCGTAAAAAGTGCTACAAAATTCAATTATTTTTCAAAAGTGAAAATTTTTCAGGAAACATATGAATAGTTGGTGAAATGGGCCTCCTGATTCCGAGTCTGAAGTGATTTTCGACATATCTTGACTCCTAATATCATTTTCCGGAAATTGGGGTGGTTCCATGGCTGTTGGCGAGCAGTGTATATCACTGAAGATTACTTCACTTGGTCATTTTTGGTATATATCTCGCTTCAGCAAATTTCAGGATCCTTACCCAACGATTACGAAAGATACAGGGGTGTTTCCATTATAAGTGGGTCACACTGTATGTATGATATGTGCAAAAAAAGTGATTCATGAAAAGTGAAATTCCATAACCTGTGCACAGGGATGACATTCAAAACTTTCTCCCATTACAGAAAAAACGATATTCTCCGTCTGTTTTCATGCAATTAAATTTGCCAAAAATATACTGTTCAGGAAACAGGTTCATCCAGGATGAGTTAGGTTGAATGTACTCGCTTTTTTATGCAAAAACCATATTTCTTCTTCATCATACCTCATACCGTTCTGATAATTTCAAGATTTTCCGAAGCGTAGCAACATGCTACTATTCGCATGACTGGCGAGAGACATTCGTGAGACGCGACCGAATTCACACCGGCGGCGGGCACCTAACCACGGTGGTGGTTGCGAATTCGGAGAACTTCTTGTCGATCGGTATTCGATCGTCGTACAGGGTGGGCGCTTGCAGGATGATTCCGGCAGTGCCTACGAGCACGGCGAGCGTGAAGATCCAGAGGAAGAGGCGGTCGAGCACCATCGCCACGTATTTCCAGTCCTCTTTCACCTGCAATCGAACGTTACGAATGTTGGATCTCGATATAAATATTCGAAAAGCGAGTTGAAGGAGTGCCACTGCTTGGTGTACAGGGGCACGTATTCAAAACGCCCCGATAACAGGCATAGGCAAGCTTCTAGACCAATCACAACGTTGAGTTTGTGAGCTCTGATGAATTAATCAGAAAGATTAATAATGAGAGAACAAGAATCTATTTCTTTATTGCCACAGGCAATGAGCTATTTGTTGGTGAACCATCTGCTGATGTGAGAGCGGGAAAAATATTGAATTAGGGACACTCTTTTTCAGGTGGTTGTGCAAGTATTGATGTGGTGAACGAAATATTTTCTGATTATCTGAAACATTCGGAAATAAAAATTTCGAAAGCCTTGACTGTTTTTGTTGAAAAGTTGGGAGACATCAAAACAGTATCTGGATTTGCAAGTGCATGTCACACCGACTCCTCTTCAGGTAGTATTATGTGAGATATTGTACTCCTCCTTTTTCATTTATTAATCACTTGAATTTATAATCACTACTCATATTCATTAGGAACGATAAATCAAAGAAACAAGTCAACCTACTGGGCGCCCCATGTAAACCTATTTTATTTTTTCAATCCAAAACAGTTTGTCTGACGAAAAAAAGTCAAAATGTTCTTTTTGTTAGCAACTAATGAGAGATTACAAAACTGATTCTCATTTTGATGAAAACAGTAGCGTACAATTTTTTAATGTAATAAAATTATATTTTGGTCAATATCAACGGTTCATGAAGAAGTAGATCATCAAATCATAGAGGAATTTATCCTCTTTCTGAACATATGAAAATTGATGTACCATTGAATTTGCTTTTTTTGGAAAGGACTCAAAAATTTGCTAACAGTTAACGCCATCTAGCGGCGACAGCAAGAGTCAAAAATTCAAAACCAAGCTTTTCGTAGGACAAATCATGCTCTTCCATATGAGCCTAAGTTTGCTTAAATCGGTCGGAATAAACGAGAGATATCCTGATTTGCTTAAAAAAACAATTGAACTTCCCCTACCACTTTATCTTGACAGATATAACAAAACGTTTAAGTTAAAAAATGTAGGGAAATGGTCAGTGAATATGGAAATGATAACATCGATATACCTTCAAGAGACAAAATTCTATAAAAATCCCATTTTTCTACTTGGTGTTGGTTGTTACGCCCTCTACCGGACGTTTGACAAACGCGAACAAAATTTCGAGCAATTTTTTTTGGTGACGTCTATCATGATTTTTTTTTCTTGAATCCATATGACCAATATCTTATGAGATATGGCCGCTGTTACCCTCAACTGATCACCTGTACTGTGAGCCAAACACGGATAGCAGATATAATGCATAGAAATTAATAATTGTTTTGAGTTCACATAAATGGATATAACGAAGGAGATGAACGGAACACCTTTTTTTCCACCCACCTTGGTAAAGTCCTCCAGCATCTTGGTGTGCTTCGCGATGAACCATTAACGTCTGGAGGACGGAAATTTGGTTATTGGTGAGGAAATTTCACTTGCAAAGATCGAAGGCGATCGGATTGATTGTCGAATTCGTTCCTTGTATCCTCGGTGGCTACTTGGAGGCGCTGCATGTGAAATCTTAAGGAACCTGATGTGCGAATTTAATTTTGAGATATGCAGTGAGCCGGACATGGATAGCGGATAATGCATAGAAATCCATCATTGTTTTGAGTTTTTTTTTTATGTTCTGATTCCCACGAAAAGGGATATTCTGTAATGTTCGGAGAACATCGTGAGAACCAAGGGAAATAAAGTAGGAATTGATGTTCTTCTTGAATTTCTGAAGGCTATATGCCTCGAGGAACACCACCCTTGGATGTTCTGCAGGTCTCCGAAGTGACCACGAAGGGGTGCGAAGCCTCTACTCGAAGACTGCCAAGGGAGGAACAATTATTGTTGATATTTCAGAGAAGCATCGTCCATGGAAATATCTATAAAAAAGAGCCAGAGCGCCAACTTTTCTACGGTGTTCCAAAGGAGTAAGTGAGTTTGTGAGCGAGACCGAGACATCACCCACGAGACGAATTGCCCTTTTTTGAACAGAATCCAACAGTTTTAGGGTATGTTTGATTTCTGCTCTCCGAATATGGGAACAGTATTCAAAGACAGGTCGGATCTGTGCCTTATAGATCATGAGCAGCTGACTAGGAGTGGAATAGCTCCTAGCTCGAGATAGAAAACCAAGTTTTTGGGATGCACTTTGAGCAATTGATCTCACGTTATTTTCCCAAGCAATGTTATTGCTGATAGTGATACCAAGCATCGGAATGGATGTCTTCAAAGGTATAGTGTTACACTTCGTTTTATTCCTAACGAAAATCCTGCATATAGCAAATCTATTTAACATTGTTTACGTACGCAACCTTGTATTATTCTGTTCCTCCGCTCATCAATTCGTGAAATTAGGTAGGTAGAGATACCGTGGCCGTGTTATCGTTGGTCTGTGAACTGGTCCAACACATTTTGTTTTATTTGGCTGAACTATTTAGTTATGATTCTCCGTTCATCAGGTACTGTCAGTACACGATATCTTACCTGGGCGAGGCCTGCCTGACTGTTGATCTCCGTGAATTGTAACATAGGTGATGAATCCTGACCATACTTGAATTGTGAGATCTTTTATAGACAGTCATTCTACAATTTCATTTCCATTTCGATCATTGTTTTGTTTACATCGAAATAATTTTTAATTAACCAATATTTTACTGTCAAAGGTGTCACCTGGCGATGACTGACAAGTGAGTGTTATTTGCGAGCTAATCTTCTTTTGTTTACGTATGAACACTTCTTCTCTATCTTAAGCCGCTGTCAGAAGAGGTTATTGACGGTAGTTCGGTTATATTGTTTTTGTAAAATGGGGTCTAGTTCAGACAATAATTATGATTGAAGGGTTTTGTTCGACTCACAATCCCTTTAGTTCGTTATTCGATTACCATTTGGAATATTCGGTGTGATGTACTTATGGGTTGTGTCCCATCATGTCAGTGGCTCTGGCCGAGGAAGAAGATTCCTTACGTAATTCTGACGCCTTCTTCGACCTTCGACATCGGCGCAGGTCCGAATTCGAGAATATTCTAGATTTTTCTGGAATTAATTGATGCGCATCAGGTTGGCTGTGGCGCAATAATATCCGCTTCTGTGCTGTGCTCGGAAGTGTAGTCTGGCGAAAGTCAGGCCATTTTCCTTTTTTTTTAAAAAATGTGGTGTAAAGCCATTTAGGCTCAAGTGTTGTGTTGGTGGTCGGGATGGCTCCCACCAACAAGGCTGATTGCCATATTAGGATGGCAAGAAAAACATTCTTCCGGCGGGAGGACAGCCCACTGAAACCGGCGAGACGATCCGGATTCATTTTGGGAACTTGGAGTGGACCACCTCGTGGTACAAGTAAGCCTGAGATTCGGTTCTTTGTAAATAAGTTACTTATAGTAGTAATTTTTCCAATAGTGTTGGGATTAGTTGACCAAGGATCTCTATTTTCTGGATACCTTTGTTGGTTCTGGTACCAGACCTCATTTTCGAGGGATTTGTGGCTGAAGAACACGAGGCCGGCGTCACTCATCAACTTCATCAAACCCGCCCATCATCAAAGGTATGAGGTTTTGTCTGATCTTTTCGAGTGCTATACATGTTCTCTTTAGGGTTTTTCGTCCCAGTCCCTGGGTACTACCTCTACCAAGAGGCCATAGAGCTGTAGGGGCTCTAATCTGTGGCTGATCAGATCCACAGCCTTCTGTACCTCGCACCCTGAGGATTTACCCTGTAGCACCCCTGCACTTCTTCACACCTATATGTTCTGCACATCTTCACATCAACGTCTGCACATCTTTACACCTACGTCTGCACATCTTTACACCTACGTTCTTCACCCTGGACATCTGTATCCTGCACCCTGGACATCTGTATGCTGCACCCTGTACACAGCTACCCTGCATATTTAGGACTGTGCACCTGTAGTTCTGCTTCCTGCTGGTGAGTTCGTTCCATTTTTTTTTTGTACTGGATAACTGCCACCAAGTATTACTACCTATAAGCCTAGTAAAAAGTTGATTTAGTCCTGAGGGGTTAATATCATATAAGTTTTGACCTATTCATAGTTTAAATACCATATTTTGTTATCTTTTGTCTGATTTTCACACCTGGAAACCAATGTGCACTGCGGTATTATCACCTATATTTCACACATGAATTTTATATAATTGTAGGCTGTTTTGGAGAGTTGATTTCAACCAGTCATTTTTTATGTACCTTGAGTCAAATTGACTACCATCTACTGAACCAGAGAGTTGATTTTGGTCAGTCTAGATTATGTATGTTAGCCATATAGGTTGTTAAAATCACATACAAGAGTATGATATGCCTTTGCAGAATATTAAAGGTGATATTTTGGTAGAAAAATATAAGTATTTTCTTTACTGTGCCTAACGTACCCACCCCAGTGTCCTGCTGAGCTACCAGTGTCTTATTCCTGCTGTATAGAACAAGGCACTAAAAATACTAAATTTTGTAGCAAAAACTCATGAAATTCAAATCACCTAGTGGATTTCAGGCAGATAAACAGTCACCTCAGGGGAAAATCCCAACTCAGTTCAATAATCCTTACCCCCTGAGTTTTGCAAGTTACAATGGCGCCCAACCTGTTCTGAAGAAGGCACTATAGGGTGTTTATGTTAGACTAGGTAAATTCAAAGGCAATTGGTGGTAGTTTTGAATTTTTATAAAATTTTGTGTTGAATTTTTGGTCACAGTATACATTTTCTGTGTAGCTATATGGTGTATTGAATTTATCTGAAGGTACTGTGAATTTATTTTTTCTTGAGATCATACAGGGTGGTCAACTTACAATGATTGCAAACAGAGCTTAATAAATACTTGTTTTTTGCTAATTTTTTTCAAAGATTACAGATGTGAAGTATGATGGTAGGGTATAGATATTTGTTGAAAGAAAAACAAAATTAAGAACAG